GCGCGGACCGTGACACTACCCGTCGCCCGGCGAGCGTGTGATAGTCACGTCCGTTTGATAAGGTCACGATCGTGTTGGACGATGATTATGTGTTATTACTATTATTATTATTATCAAGTTCGACCGTAATAATAATAACTAACGACTAATAACAAAATTGTCGTCTCGAAGTCACCGGCCGGAGAACAATGGAGTACAACAAACTTCGGAGGCTAAAATATTTATTTTTTCGTACCGCGCGCCTCGAGGATTTTATCACACTCCCCATTCAAACGTTAACAGTGAAAACTAACACAATTAGAATAATTGGTATTTTAGATTTTGCAGATGATACACCTTGGAAATCTTAAAAATATGTAAAATTAAATTAAATTATAGAGAATAGAACCACTTTTTTAATTTCGTATACACAAAGTGTGTCGTACTGTACACAGTTTTAGTCCTTGATAAACTTATTGCGGATCGTTAAAACGTGACGCCGAGTGCAGCCGCGAGCCGGTCGGTACATTGCCCCGTCGCGCACGCGGTCCGGGCATGGGCGCAACTAGAGCCCAAATATTGGGGAGCTGAAATTGCTGAAAATAAAATAAAACGGTATTTTACTGTAGTTACTGTAGATTATGTGGAAGAAAAAAACATTGGTGCTACATTTGAACTCGGGGGTGCTAAAAAACCCTATTGCGCCCCCCTAGTTACGTCTATGGGTCCCTGTCAGCCGAAAACAACATTTTACCGACGACACACGATTTCGTGATTGTTTCAACGTCGTCTCGGAACGCGTAACACACGCGTGTGCGTGCAGTCGGCACATGTGCCGTTGACGCCACTCGTTGACGTCTCCAACGACGTTGTGTTCGCTCGTACTGGATAATCGTTACGTCATCCGTCGCTGTACGCAGTGCCGGATTACCCATTAGACGGAGTAGGCACAAGGGTGTATTTGAGGGGAGGGAGCAAAGGGGGGCATTCGCCCCTTATGGCTTATATTTTTTTTTGAATATAATACATTGATTTATTTAAAAAATGTAATGTATAAATAATTAGGAATATAAATTACTAGTCTATCAATATAATCAGGGTTCGAATTTAATAGCACCAAAAATACTAAAATATGCGCTATAATATGACTAAAAAAACCTTAAAATATGCTCTATAAATATGCCATAAAAACAACAAAATAGCAAAAAAAAATAAGTCAAAATTGTATTAAATGTATTATATTATTTTATGAAGTAATACATTAATAAAAAAAACTAAAATGCCCACCATCTTCTGTTAAAAATTTCAAAAAATTTATATGTGGTACGTCTTGTTGTATGTATACCTGTTTTACCTTGAATTATGACATCTTTGTACGTAACTGTTTCTCCGTTTTTAAGTGTTTACTAACGTTAAACTTTTTGTAACTATTAACTTTACATTCACACAGTTTTCAAAATAGAATATTTGTGTTAATCGTAAAAACATCATTACTACCAAACTCAGACACAAAATATCTAAGTCTCGAATAGTTCGATGTTTTAACTTTTGACTCTTTACGTTAAGTATCGAAACAGAAAAACAAACAATACACAATCGACTAATAAACGAATTTAAACAATACGGAGAACTGACACTAAAAGCATGAAATACGTACGATTGACAATATATTGTAGAACAATAATAAAATTAAAATAAATAAAACAGATAAGAAGGCATAAATGTATAAATATATTTGATATCGCCAGACTACTTAAAAATAGATTCTAGTAACATGTTAAATAGTAAATACCATATTATTTATCAATTATCAAAATTAAACGAAAATGTGGGAATTTTTGGATTCACCTAAATTAATACTATTTTTCATTCAACATAAACGAGATTTATGAAAAATACAAAATAAAGCATAAAATCATGTATATTAACAAAAAATATCACCAAAATTTCAAAAATATCCCTAAAAATCTAAAATACTTCAAATATATAAAAAATAGCAAAATAAAATTTCTGATTTACAGTCCCCGGTTAATAACACAAATGAATAACCCACTCTGCTATCTTTATCTTTATCCTATAACAGTGGCGGATTAAGCAATTTACCGCCTAAAAGTAGGACATTTGCCGCCATTTCATTTAAAAATTTTTCAAATTAAAAGGTAAAATTTTTCACCTCTCTATAATTTGAATTCTATATTTTTTCCTTAGATTTTTCGATTTCACTCGGTAAATCGAAAACATTTATAAATCAAATTTTCAGTTTGGTCTCAATTTCGAATTATTGAGTGACTACTATAATTAGATATTTCATTATTCTTTTCATGTACACAAAATTGTTTCATTATTTATATTCAATTAATTAGTATGACAATGTAGACATTGTTTATTTTGGATTATAGCAGAAATAATTTTCAGTCAAATTTAAAAGGAAATATGGCTGACCAAGAAGAGAGGCACAATAACAAGGCAGCCATATGGGGATTTTTCAACCCATTTCTATTATCTCTTGAAGTTATCATTGAAAAAGACACAACAATAATTATTACCATTTCATAAGCGAATTTTTTTTTTAATTTCATTCAGAAGGGACGCTAATGGTTCCATCCATTTTTGTGTATTCTTTGGAAATTAAATCAAGTAAATAATGAAAAAAACCCAATCAAGATTACGATAACACATTTGGGGTGAGTGGCAGTTCTTCTAAATTGTGATTTTTAAAAAATGTAAATAAACTTTGATTTTGTTGTTTTTTTTTTCTGTTGCATTTTGCATACAAGTTTTGAAATGTATAAATTCTTGTGTAAATGTGTTTTCATCAATGTCTGTTTCATAAAGTTGTTGTAGTTTTTTGGCTTCTTGGACAATATCATGGGTATCAATTTAATTTTTGTCTATGTTGATCAAAAATTTGAATTTATCGTAAATATTTGCATACCCAGAATGTATCGCCATAATGTATGGCTATGATTATATTTAAATAAACAATTTCCAGGAAAAACATAGATTCGCTAATAACAACAATTCTAGTTTATCGCGTTCACCGAAACTATTTCAGTATTCACTGAGTTAATAACCTAATGGCTAATATTCATAAATTATAATATAATTTTATAAATAAATTTTTTTTTCTTAAGTGTGGCAAATTTGCCGCTCCAATCACCTGATTACTTTGCCTGTAGAGTAACCCGACGCTGTCTTATAATAAGTAGCAAATGCTATAAAATCCGAACCCTGATTATATTATAATAATAAATTCAATATGTCAATTTGGTCACGGATATCAATTTTTGTTTATCATCTTATATCATAACATTTTTGTTTGTGGAACAAATAGTGCTATTATCTTCCACGGATATTGCTACAGTTATAGACATTTAAAACCATAACCGAGGTATTTATCAGATAATATAAAGTAATTTAAGGTAACACTTTTTTTACCACATATTTACTAGTTAGTCATTTTTTGGTGCATTTATGCATATTGTATATTTTTGTATTTATTAGAGCTATAAAGTCTTTAATTATTTTACTCGCCTATTTTTTTTTTACAACATAATATCTGGTACTTTTTGTTGTGTATAGGTATTTAGTCATATTTTTGTGCACAAATGTATGCATATTTGAGTATTTTATTGAGCTAGGAGCCCTTAACCCAAATAATCATCATTATAACTGACAATATTTGTTTCCATATTCTTTAACTTGCAAATATTGGCCAAAAATATATTTTTGTAAATCTAAAACATGGTTAAGATTAAGAATAGGCTAGCATAGACTAACAGGTTTGGCTTTGCTGCATGTGCATAAAAATATTATTGCATCTATTGATGAAACAATCAAAAAATTTGCCAAAATGAAAAAAAGGAAATTTGGAACTTGTTATTTGGCTAATTATCAATCTTTTTTGTTTTCTACTTAGATATTTGTTAAATTAAGTTACCTATCTTGTTTTTTTTAAGCTTTTAAAGCTGTTTATTTTAATTATTGGACAGTAATGTCAAAGATTTATGTAAAAAATAATTTTGTAGGGCTCAAAGTTGTAATTGCTTAGTACGCATGCGTGCACAAATACGTATCACTCAACGGAATTAACTATTCCGCTCCGCGTTTCGCACGGTTTTCTTATACGAGAAATTTATAAACACATAATATTCTCCAGTCGTACAGGAATGCGGTATTCGATATCATTGTGTAGCGCATCAACATGTTATCAATTGCAATACTGTAATGTTATTGGCATACCACACCAACAATTATGTTATGTATTGGTTTTATTTTTGAAATAGTGTACGCGAGTTTAAAATATTATTGGAAAAAGCGAAAAACAATACTAATCAAAATTAATTTAATTTCAACGAGAATCGCCGACAGGGATCGAGTCGAAGAACTTACATAAACGAGTTGATCTGGATTGAACTTCTGATGTAACGAGTGCCGACACATATTTAATCCGGGATTGGTTAGGTCACGTGTACAATAGGTGACAATTAAAGAAAATCCAGCAGAGTAAGACGGTTACAACTTAATAATATATAAGTCAAGATGAATAATGATAAATAATAATAATAATCGTAATAATATCATGCACTCATACTTTGACATTTTCCTCGACCGCTTAGAGTTGTAACTATGAAAATATAGTTTCATCGCTAAAATAAAATTTGACCTATATACTTTGTTCATACTCAATGCATTTTAATAATCTAATATTACTCGTGGAACAACACAGCTACAAGAATATTGTAATTTATAGTATGAGAATAAGAGCATAAGCGTGCGCACAGAGTAGTCAGGGTATGCACTTGACTACTCAGCGAACTTCTCCCCCACGACCAAATTATTCAATATTGTCGCAATAATAAATAACCATATTATGTTCGAACCCTTTATGTAAATGTAATTATTTAGTTAAATGAAATCA